GAGGGATTTTGAGGGTTTGAAGGACAGGAGATGCTCAAGAAGATCAAGGTGGAGCCCAAGAAGAGCGAAGGTGACACATTTTGGGGCAAATTTGGCAAATTTTGGGGTTCTCAGGTGACTTTTGGGGTTCTTGGTGGATTTTTTGAGGTTTCTGGGTGATTTTTTGGGGTTCCTGGATGTTTTTTTGGGTTCCTGGGTGGTTTTTGGAGGTTCTCAGGTGATTTTTGGAGGTTCTCAGGTGGTTTTTGGAGGTTCTCAGGTGGTTTTTGGAGGTTCTCAGGTGGTTTTTGGAGGTTCTCAGGTGGTTTTTGGAGGTTCCCGGGTGGTTTTTGGAGGTTCCTGGGTGGTTTTCGGGTGGTTTTTTGGTGTCCCCTGGTCATTTTTGGGTTCCTGGTGGATTTTTGGAGGTCCCCGGGTGGTTTTTGGAGGTTCCTGGGTGGTTTTTGGGTTCCTGGGTGGGTTTTGGAGGTTCCTGGGTGGTTTTTGGGTTCCTGGGTGGTTTTTGGAGGTTCTCAGGTGATTTTTGAAGGTTCTCAGGTGATTTTTGGAGGTTCCTGGGTGGTTTTTGGAGGTTCCTGGGTGGCTTTTGGGTGGTTTTTTGGTGTCCCCAGGTCATTTTTGGGGTTCCCAGGTGACTTTTTGGGGTTCCTGGATGGTTTTTGGAGGTTCCTGGATGTTTCTTTGGGGTTCCCGGGTGGTTTTTGGAGGTTCTCAGGTGGTTTTTGGAGGTTCTCAGATGATTTTTGGAGGTTTTCAGGTGGTTTTTTGGGGTTCCTGGGTGGTTTCTGGGTGGTTTCTGGGTGGTTTTTGGGGTTCCTGGATGGTTTTTTGGGGTTCCTGGGTGTTTTTTTGAGGTTCCTGGGTGGTTTTTGGAGCTTCTCAGGTGATTTTTGAAGGTTCTCAGGTGGTTTTTGGAGGTTCCTGGGTGGTTTTTGGGTGGTTTTTGGGTGTCCCCAGGTAATTTTGGGGTTCCTGATGGATTTTTGGGTTCCTGGTGGATTTTTGGAGGTTCTCAGGTGATTTTTGGAGGTTCCTGGGTGGTTTTTGGAGGTTCCTGGATGTTTTTTTGAGGTTCCTGGGTGGTTTTTGGAGGTTCTCAGGTGATTTTTGAAGGTTCTCAGGTGGTTTTTGGAGGTTCCTGGGTGGTTTTGGGGTGGTTTTTTGGTGTCCCCAGGTCATTTTGGGGTTCCTGGTGGATTTTGGGGTTCCTGGTGGATTTTTGGAGGTCCCCGGGTGATTTTTGGAGGTCCCCTGACCTCCCCTGTCCCCCCCAGCCTTCATCCGGAAGCTGGACCCCTGATGGTTCCCTGAGGAACCTTTTGGGTTTTTTGGGGTTCCTGGTGACTTTTTGGGTTCCTGGGTGGTTTTTGGGTTCCTGGGTGATTTTTGGAGGTTCCTGGGTGGTTTTTGGGTTCCTGGATGGTTTTTGGAGGTTCTCAGGTGATTTTTGAAGGTTCTCAGGTGGTTTTTGGAGGTTTCTGGGTGGTTTTTTGGGTTCCTAGGTGATTTTTTTGGGTTCCTGGGTGGTTTTTGGAGGTTCTCAGGTGGTTTTTGNGTTTTTGGAGGTTTCTGGGTGGTTTTTTGGGTTCCTAGGTGATTTTTTTGGGTTCCTGGGTGGTTTTTGGAGGTTCTCAGGTGGTTTTTGGAGGTTCCTGGGTGGTTTTTGGAGGTTCCTGGGTGGTTTTTGGGTGGTTTTTTGGGTTCCCAGGTGACTTTTTGGGGTTCCTGGATGGTTTTTGGAGGTTCCTGGGTGGTTTTTGGGTTCCTGGGTGGTTTTTGGAGGTTCTCAGGTGATTTTTGAAGGTTCTCAGGTGGTTTTTGGAGGTTCCTGGGTGGTTTTTGGAGGTTCCTGGGTGGTTTTTGGAGGTTCCTGGGTGGTTTTCGGGTGGTTTTTTGGTGTCCCCAGGTCATTTTTGGGTTCCTGGTGGATTTTTGGAGGTCCCCTGACCTCCCCTGTCCCCCCCAGCCTTCATCCGGAAGCTGGACCCCTGATGGTTCCCTAAGGAACCTTTTGGGTTTTTTGGGGTTCCTGGGTGGTTCCTGGGTGGTTTTTTGGGTTCCCAGGTGACTTTTTGGGGTTCCTGGATGGTTTTTGGAGGTTCCTGGATGTTTTTTTGGGGTTCCTGGGTGGTTTTTGGAGGTTCTCAGGTGATTTTTGAAGGTTCTCAGGTCATTTTTGGAGGTTCCTGGGTGGTTTTTGGGCTCCTGGGTGGTTTTTGGAGGTTCTCAGGTGGTTTTTGGAGGTTCCTGGGTGGTTTTTGGAGGTTCTCAGGTGATTTTTGAAGGTTCTCAGGTGGTTTTTGGAGGTCCCCGGGTGGTTTTTGGAGGTTCCTGTGTGGGTTTTGGGTTCCTGGGTGGTTTTTGGAGGTTCTCAGGTGGTTTTTGGAGGTCCCCGGGTGGTTTTTGGAGGTTCCTGGGTGGGTTTTGGGTTCCTGGGTGGTTTTTTGGAGGTTCCTGTGTGGGTTTTGGGTTCCTGGGTGGTTTTTGGAGGTTCTCAGGTGGTTTTTGGAGGTTCTCAGGTGGTTTTTGGAGGTTCCTGGGTGGTTTTTGGGTTCCTGGGTGGTTTTTGGAGGTTCTCAGGTGGTTTTTGGAGGTCCCCGGGTGGTTTTTGGAGGTCCCCTGACCTCCCCTGTCCCCCCCAGCCTTCATCCGGAAGCTGGACCCCGCCTACCAGGTGGACAAGGGCAACAAGATCCGGCTGATGGTGGAGCTCAGCAACCCCGACCTGCCCCTCAAGTGGTACAAGAACGGGCAGCTCATCAAGCCCAGCAACAAGTGAGTGCCAGGGGGGCACAGGTGGGCACAGGTGTGGCACAGGTGGGCACAGGTGGGCACAGGTGGGCACAGGTGGGCACAGGTGGGCACAGGTGTGGCACAGGTGGGCACAGGTGTGGCACAGGTGTGGCACAGGTGCTCCCCAGTTGTCCCCAGTTGTCCCCAGGTGCCCTTAGACACCCCCAGGTGTCCCCAGTTGTCCCCAGACACCCCCAGGTGTGCCCAGGTGTCCCTCAGACCACCCCAGGTGTCCCCAGGTGTCCTTAGACACCCCCAGGTGTGCCCCAGGTGTCCTCAGGTGTGTCCACGTGGGCACAGGTGCCCCCAGGTGTGGCACAGGTGTGGCACAGGTGTGGCACAGGTGTGCCCAGGTGTGGGCACAGGTGCCCCTCAGCTGACCCCA